TGTGAAGCGTGGGCTGAGAAAAAGAAAACGCTGCCGGGACCTGTTGGCATTTTTATGCCAGCGTTTTTATGATTAATTAAAATTTATGCCCGAGCAAATTATGCTTTCACTCCCAAAGACCGTATGCGTATAAATATTCCTATTCAAAGGGCAGGCATCAATTCCTTGTGGCCATCAAGTTGGGTGATTAAGATTAAGAGGATTGTCATAAAGAAGAACCCAATTTGGGGCAACTAATTGAAGGCACTCGAGGGGAAAGGCGGTGAAAGGCGGAGAAAGGCGGAAAAGCGGAAAAACAAAACTATGCCGAATGCGAATGATTCGAAAAAAAGTGAGCGCATTTCATATTTATTAAAGCAATAAAATAAAGTAGGAACCAACACGGGCGAGAGTTGTTGCCCAGATAACGTGTCAGGACCCAGGACCCAGAGAAATATCACTGTGTCACCCACACACCCACACGTCACACTCACACAGAGACAGAAACAGGATCAGGGACACCCCACACACGCACACACACACTTACATAAATTGAGGAAGCCATTGTTGCTTTGGTTGCGGTTAACGTGCAAATTTGTTGCTTCCCCTTCTCAGGATTGTCCTGCGGATTTGGCCTAGGAAAAGGATTCCCAGGCAGGCTTCCATAGAAGGGCAGGGCCATAAATTTAAAATTAACCCTTTAGGAGCACAACATTTGACCTTCAGTTGGCGCCCACAGAGGCGACAGGCTTTACAATAAATCCTGGGCATTCGCAGTCCCAAAACGAAAAAGAGAGAGCAGCCAATTTCCTCAAGGGCTGCCAAATTAATCGCCTTTGCAGGTGGCCCATTTGTGCATTTTAAATCGGTAAAAATAATTCCATTTCGAGCGATTAATTAATTGAATGGGTTTCGGCTCTCAATCGAAATGAAATAATTCCCAGCATATTGGCTGGCAACCGATAAAGGAATATACCGAGTTGTCACTACAGCAGAACAGAACAGCACGCCAAACAATAATAAATAAATGGGAAACACGACTTGGCCCGGAGGCTTTTGAAACAGGGCAGGAAAAGAAGGGCGAATAAAACACTGAAATGGGCCAGAATGGGCCAAAAAAGCGCCAAAGGACAGGGGGCGACGAGGGTTTAACTCAAGTGGCTCCTTGGCAGTCAAGACAATTCGAAAAATGCTTTTAAAAGGAAATCAGCAAAGGAATTTCGCTTATGGGCAACTGATTGTGATTGTGCCATCGAATCGGGCGGAACAAGTTGAACAGGCAGCGAAAGTGGGGAAAGTCCGGAGCTGCCACACTTGGAAAATTGAATTGTTTTAGATTTTCCTCCATTTTTGGGCTCTCCTTGGCGCAACGTATAAATCAAATTGGATTTTCTTGTGCACTTAACTCTGGAATAGCCAATCGGAAGTGAACCCAAAACTCAATCAGCGGCAAGGCTGTGGATGAAAAGTTCATTAGTAGGCTGGCAGCCAAATGTTCCAAGGCATTTACTCAGCTCTAATCCATTGAAATCGTTCGAGAATGTCGTCTATTCGAAATTGGCTAGACTCGCAGAATGGCTGGACCCCACTAAATCGTAATATCAGTGAAATGAAGGGACTAAATAGTTGCTTTTACTTCTTCGGCCTGAAAACGGGCTGCAAGTTGATAGCCGTTTTCGAGGCCCTGGTCAATATGCTGCAAATGTGCAGCTTCTTTATGGCCGAGATGGCGGTGAAGACCAGGACAACTGAGTCCCCAGATTCGCTGATGGTCACCAGGGAACCAGACGGGGATATGTTTGGAACAAACACTATGATGCCCATTTTCGAGGCCAATATGTATTTCAGTAGAGCCCTTAGCTCAGTGACTGTGTTCAGGTCTTTACTGCTCTTTATAGGCGCCGAGTGGGTATGTAATCTTCAGGGATTTTTAAAACAATACTATTATATCATATAATACTACATATCAGAGTCACATATCCTGTCTAGTCCTTTGGCTTTGCATTACTGTCATAACCACGATGATTGGTACTATCGTTGATATTATGCAAGATTGCGATTTGCTAAACATGTTCTTTCGTACCATTTCCATTTGTGAGTATAAAATAAGATATATAAAATATTATTTCCTAACTTCCACCATTTTCAGTTCTCGAAATCTATTTCTGCGCAGTGGTTGCCTCTTTGGTTTTTAAATTACAGGATAAACTTCGCCGTAATGTTCAGGAAACGGAAGTGCTTTTCACACAAAGCGAGGAAGCTTAGTAATTACAAGATAATTTAATTACTTTAAGTACTACATCATGGTCATACTTATAATCTTATATTTTAAAAGCAAGACCACCTAAACACTTAAAAGGAAATAAACAATTCACTCGAGTATGATATTCGCAGTTAAACATTTCTAAAACAAGCTGGCAGTCTAGTGTTTTGTAGCTTAGATAAATGGTATAGCATATGGTTATTTCTATGATATATAATTGAATTAATTCGTTGGGCAATGAGTTATAGCATGCCTGGCCACTACAACCAATTTTTGAGCTAAATATGCACAGATTGCTACTTAAACATGCTGGTTTTATGGCTAAGTAATTGTATTTGCATTCGAAACTCGTGAAATACACACACGCGGCGCGAAAACTTGCACATTTGCATGGGAAAATTCGAAATGTGCAAATGTGCAAGGAATATAGTATATATGGTATCGGGGTATCTCAAAAATTGATTGCACTGGCAAATTGAACAGGAAACAAAGGCTGAAACGCTCGTTATCGCGATAACGAGTATTTCATCGGCGAAAATTGAAACCAAATATTTGGGAGCATAGTAGAGTAGTAGAGTAGAGTAGAGTAGAGGTATCGAGTTTAAATTCTTACTTTTGCGTACGGCGACTTTTTGGGCGGTTCTCGCGAGGAGGTTGCCGCTGCTGCCGTGGGCGTGCCGCGTTTGTTAGGCCGATTCTTTTTGAGAACGATAACGCGCATGATGGGCAGATATATATATATTTACTCGGTATCAAATGTAAGGGGGTGTACGTGTGCGTGTGGCTTGCGGCTACTATTTGCTTGCTATTTATTTACGCAAAGTGTTCGTTTTTCTTTTTTCAAAAACTTTCAAATTTCGAGGTGTCGCCGAGTTCGCTAGTCTCTTTTTTATTTTCTCAAGTGATGGCCGTTCACAAACGGGTTTCCACTCCTCGCGACATCGGAGGCGGATTCAGATTTCAGTTTTCAGATTTCAGATTCAGATTCGAATTTAGATGCGGAGTGTGTAGTGGGTGGTTGGTGGTTACAAGTACGTGTTCGGGTGCTATTGCGACTGCACAGGCACAAAGGTCACGAAATTACAAAATGCAAAGCGAGCCGAGCCTCTAGCTCTAGATAGAATTTTACATAGTTGATGTTGCGATTACTGAGTAAAGATAAGTTAAACTACATCTAGATTAGCAAAGAGTATTGGTTATTTACAGTACATACGAGTTAGCTAGAATTTTATTATTTTATTTTTTAGTTGAGTTGTTGCTTCGGATGGGTGAAGTTCGGCACTGGGGCCACGAATTTCGACTACTTGGCTAGTTAGTTTTGTTAGAAAAGGCAGGCAAAAGAAATTCGAAGAAATTCTGGCAGTGCTACGTTCGTATTTTATTCAAATTCATTGGGCGCACGGTGCGTATGCGTGATTGATTAATAAAGCTAAAGTTATTTTACATGGACATGGACTGTCGACTAGTTGGTTGCATTACTATTTTGATCATCGTTTGGTTACTTACGCGCTGAACTCAATTTAATTTATCTTGTGTGGCTATCAAAATAGAGAGAACAACTCGCCTAGAAAAGCCTGCTGCCCTGAACTGCGCTCTAAAATTATGCATATATATTATAGAGGATATATATATGAATGGTGTCTGTTTTGGGAATATATTATATTATATCGTTTTATTTTTTTTTTGGTTCTTAAAGGTTTGTGTTTTTCGTTTGCGTGGTTTTGGTTTAGCTGGCCCAGTGGCGATTGGCAGCCAATCACACCTCAGGCGCGACGAAGAACGACGACGACGCGTCTACGGATGCGGATGCGGATACGGATACGTCTACGGAACTACGGCTACGGCACTACGGCTACGGCTACGGCTAATTTGTCGAACGGATGGATCACCCAAGAACGGAGCTGGCGAGCCGCGTTACGTATACGTCGGGATGCAAGCACGTGACTGACTTGGAGCGACCGTTGCACGCTGCTTTTATAAACAGCGACATCGGGAAAATGCTGGCAAAGGTCTGGCAACGCTCGGCATGCAATTTTCCGCGCTCTCTCTGACTCTCTCTCAGGCTTTTCCGAGCCTTCTTCGGCAACAGCTGATTCACTTGGAGGCTCTGAGGTTGAGGTTACAGTCAAAAGGCTGCTGGTTTTTACCAAAAAACCGCACAATATAGTTGTTTTCGACACCAAAAAACAAAGTATATCACACAGAACACGAAGGATACTTTTAATCAGACAGCCCCGTTTAAATTTGGTAAAACACGCAGCTGGAAAATGCAGGAAAAATCAAGCCATACTGCCGCACTGACCACGCACAAGCTAATCTACCGCAGGACTAAGCGAAGGACGAAGGACGAACCTAACCCACAGTTGGCTGCTGGCTGCTGGCGGCTTTCCTTGGCCCAAAGAGAGAGTGGGAGAGAGACGGCGAAACGCTGGGGGTCACATGCGCAGTCGGCAATCAGCTGTTTGACCTACATACGAGCGCCAGTTCATCTGTACTTTCAAGCGTGCAAACGGGGGGCGTGTCGGCAGTCCCGACCCCGCCTAATGGAACCCATTAGATCTCGGCCATGAAAAGCCCCCCACAGCAAAAGCTGGCCAGCAACAGGTCCGTGAAAAGCTTAGCGAGAGCTTTCACACGGCCTAAACTTTCTTTCCCAACTGGTTACTTTCCCCGCTTTTCCCTTTTCCAGCCAAAAAGCTGGGTGCATTATCCCGCTAAACTTTCGAGCTTTTCACCATCTTGGATAATCTGAACTCACCTGAGCCCTTATGGCCGCCAAATGGATCTGCTTGGCCCGCAGGTCAAACTTCTTCATGGACAAATCCTCCTGCAGCTCGTTGACCTTGTTGTACAGCTGACCCTCGATCCCGCGTGTCTGCGTTCGATTTAGAGCCTCAATGGAGTCCTGCGGTGTAAAATATAGCAGAGACACTTAGGACTTAAATCGAAAGAAATAAATTTTAAACTTAAATTTAAGCTTGCAAATCTCGAAAATTAATTTATATACTATCAGGTTTATACTAATAATGAATGATAGTCATCCATTCAATAATGTTTTTACAACAATAAGGTAATATATTAAAAAAATTAAGAAAAATATGGAACGGTTTGCCATTAGCACTGGGAAAATATAAATAAATATAAGAGTTTGTTAAGGTAATCCGAAGTTAATTTCACAAATTAAAAAGAGCCATTAACTGATTCTCTTCATTTTGTTATTTATTTTAAATAGAATATTATTTAAGGTTAAGAGTATGCGCTATATATATGACTTATTTCCGTCTTAACATATTTTCAGGAAGCCTGCGAAAACAATTTCTTGTAAAAAATAACCATCCTAAATACCTGCTTAAAGTAGGCTAGGTGCCAACATTCCATAGCTTTTTCATTGAGCAAATATCTGTAAAAGTCTCTCATTAATCGTGCGAAAATGTCCTCTACTGAGATATACATTCGCTGGCAGACCATTGTGCGCAAATTGAAAAACTTCCCTAGACTAAAGACTTTCTTTTATTTTTTCGAACTGGAAACAGGATGCAGGATAATAGCTCTGTTTGAGACCCTGGTGAGCGTGATGCAAATCTGCAGTATATATCATCTAGCCAGCCAATCAAGGCCAAGTGTAATCCTACCGGATCCCTTTTGGATCACAAAAATCGAACGAGACGGCATTATCAATAGGATGTTTCTCTATCACACGAATCACCACTTTTTGATGGCCCTTTGTTTGGTCACTGTTCTGAATTCGATGCTGCTCATTATAGGATGCAAATGGGTGAGAATTCTTTGAAGGACCTTAAATTATACTAGTTTATTTCAATATTTTTTTCCCAGGGTCAACAAGTTTGCCTCTTTCTCTGGATTTACATTACAGTTTTCACGACTCTTATGACGACCATTAACAATACGATTCGCAACTTGACTTTCATGCAGTGTCTCTTAATATTTCCGACATTCAGTAAGTGTGCAGGCTTTAATTAAATTGTAGATAAAAATATCTAATATATAATTTCCAGCTCTTGAAGCCTATTTTGGCGTGGTAGTTGCTTCGTTAATTTGTAAATTCCACGAGAAACCCAAGGAATGTAATGGAGATATCGAAGTGCTCTCCTCAGAAAGTGAAGAGTTGTAGGCAGTCTTAGAGATTCTTTTATAAAGAATTCGGAACAAATATATGTTGGATTTTATCGTTTTCACATGAAGTTTTATACTCTGCACTTCGAATAACCAAACACTTTTACGAGACGTTTTGAAACCTATTAAAAGTAAAATCTCCCGAGATATTCATGGTATCCTATGGTGTTTTTTTGACCTTGTGGTCAATTTATCTCACCTGCAGCTGACGTATTTGCAATTCCAACTCGATGGCCTCTCGCTTCAGTGACTCCAACGCGGAGCGTTGTGACAAGGTGGAGTGTCGGTCGAAGACCAGCTCGTTCCGCAGGCAGGGCGTCATCTCCTGCGGAGGACACGCGCAATATGCCCACAAAAAGAATCAGGACAGCTCAGGAGTTCTGGTTTGGTCACTACTCACATTGTGGTCGCCCGCCTCCTCGCCGGCCTCTCCTTGGGGCGTCGAGAAGAGCCGTCGGGGAATCTTCTGGGCCTGCGAGGGCTGGGCCAGCAGGCGGACGAAGTTCACCAGATCCTGCTGAGGTGAGACCGCGCTGCACTGGTTGGTCAGGCTGTTGTACCGCTTGGCTTGGTCGTTGGCCTGGGGGATGATCCAATATATTATTATTTAGTATATACCTTATAAAGGTATTTTAAGGCTTTCCCTAGAATGTTCTTTAGAATCTCATTGTGGTTCCCCCCAAAAAAGTAAAGTAATACCTATTTTAGAATTACCTAGATTTATACATAGGTATCTAACACATATAGAGTGATTCATACCTCACTTGGAAACATTTTTTATTTCTTAAATACCACAAACAATAGAATTATATTCGTAATTAGAAGCACTTTACATATCTTCAAAAAACAGGTTGATTTGTATATTGATTTTTTGCTGTTATACCCCAAGCGTTGTTTACCATTAGCCCAAAGTAAGTACACCAAAGCAGCATTTCATGCCAGCAATTAAATTATTTACTTTAAGCTAAAATGGTTTAATTGCTCTTGAAATGTTTCACAATAATAAAAAAATACTTAGGTTCTTTACTGCATTTAAATCATAGCCCGTACTGAACTGGTTAATGTATGAAAATGATTTCTTTCACCTAGCTAAAAGGTAAACCCCCTTTTTATTTACTCTAAACCCTGGCTAGGTAAAAAGTGTAACCATCATTAGCCAAAGCCTGCCCGCGCATTAGGCAAATTACCACAGCAAATTGCTACTCCGGCAATTATTATAATAGTGTACAAATTATTTTCCAGGAAACAAAGGGCGGTGCAGAAATTATCTCGAATTCCAGGTGCCTCCAACCACTGGCCACTGGCCACTGGACCCAACTACCAGGCTATATAGAGTGGGCTTTTGCCGGGGTGCGACAACCACCTGCTGCAGTGATAAATCACTGCCCCGCGGACACTCACCTTGCCGGCAATTACTTCGGCGCCCTGCATCAGCGAGTCGGACACAATGGCGACCAGGTCGTTGTGGATCTCCTCCAGCTCCTGCATCTGCTGGGGCAGGGTGTCCGAGTGGTAGGCCTCCAGCATTCCATTTGTGGCATGCAGCTGCTGCACGTAGGCGTTGTGGGCGTCGATGTATTCGGTGAGCGAGTGCTGGCTGGGATTCTGTCGGTGGGCCAGGTGGCACTGTTTGTAGTCCACTCGGCACTGCGCAGGTAGAGGTAAGGTAAGAGGTAAATAACCAGAGCCATAAAGGGTGGCCAATTTATGGGTAATCACAGCAAAGGGTAAATGTGCACACGCACAATGGACAGAAAATCATTTGACGGGCAATTGGCACGGCCCACACTGCGTATGCGTATTGTGTGTTGTTCCGGAGCCCATGTTTTCTGCTCGAACAGAACTTTAAGGGAAAATTAAATTCCTGTTCGGTCAGATGACTTCGGGGATTTCCTTTACTTCATCAGGTCTCTTTGCTAATTAAACTCACCTTTGACAGCTTCTTTTCAGTCTTTGCGATAATAGTCTCGAAAGACTCCCTGTGTGTGAATATTTTACGGCTTTGAACTTTGCGATGAAAGGATTTATCCAGCATTGGTCGCGACACCTGCAGGTTTGGGGGGGAAAATGAATAAATAAATTATTCATGGTGTTATTTTTTAAGGCCGCAGCCCAGGGTCCGGAGAAAAAAGGGCAAATCATCGTGAAAAATGAAAATTAAATGCGTAAGCCAAACAAACGCGGCGGCAGAACACATTATTCGGCACTCGAAAAACACATGTCATTTCCCAGGGCCCCGCAGTGCCACGCCCCCACTAATTAACCATAATTAGAGTCTGCTTTTTATAATGCAAATTGGGATTTTTTGTTTGTTTTCCTTTTTTTTATGTGCGGCCTCAAGGCCGCACATATTCACATGTGGTTTACACAGCCGTTCAATGCGGTAACTGGTACAAATAAATTTATTATTATTAATAGAAATTTGGCTTTTGTTTTCAAAGGGCATCATTTTGTTGCCAGAATGGCTGCCTTAATCCAATTAAAAATCTTTTAACGGCTGGTGCATGACAGGCCCTTTCGAATCTATTTCCAGTGAAGGCAGCTGAATATTTAACGCGACACGATATTGCCATTAACCCATTTTGGCTTTCGGCAACTTTCGGCGCGCAAAAGGCTGTAATTCAAGAGACTCACCTGGCGGGAAAGGACGCTGGCCACATCGTTGCAGGCCTGCGAATCGGTTTCGACCTCCTGCAGGAATGTTTCCCATGCCTGAAAGATGGCCAAGTGGCAGGCGGGTCTGGGCACGCCATTAAGTTTTTGGCATCAGTTTGGCCGGAAAATCGTTATCGCGGGGGGGCACTTACCTTTCTTTCCGTAATTCGGCATTCTTCTTGCGATAATTGGACACCGCAACCTGGAGGGCAGTCGCGTGTTCCTCGTAGAGACGGGAGAGTGTTTCGGAGAAATCGGATACTGTAATTGAATTAGATTGAGTGAGTACTAGGTGGGTACTACGGATAAAACTAAGAGGCAGTCACGCCTGGTGACGAGCCACAAAAGTGCATTAGACGCAGCACGAGTGCCGGAAACGGATATGCCTAAGGAGGACTTCCGGCTGAAGTCTTTGTGTCCTTTTCGCTCTGTCTCACAGCTCAAGGCTAAGCTCGGAATTTTACACAATAAATGGGCATGATTTATTCATGATTAAACGGTTTAACAACTTTATGCCCAATGTCAGCCCTTCACATTTCTCTTACTTTGTTTTCTGCAATAAAAGCCCTTCAAGTTTACGTACACATAAGGCCAGGCTCTTTAAAAGGAGTGATCCATCATATTTACGATTATTCAGGCTTATATGAATATGTATGTTTGGCTTTCACAGGGCTTTCAAGCTCTTAACCTGCCAGTTTATGGCCCAAACGTTTTATAACCCGCCAGATACGCGTTTATAGTGTTATACTGTTATAGGCAACAGGTTGCCAAATGTGTGGAAACTCTAAAGTTTGTCTGAGCAACTTTAATTTAATCAATAGTTTTGCTTTTTTTGCGGCTCTTTGATTTCATATGCTGTTCACAACGAAAATGTTATTAAAAACTTTAGATGCTACGGAACTTCTATGGAACTAGTACAAACTATGGAAACTCTGAGAACTCTGCTGTGTACGCAAGAGCCAAAGGTGGCATCCGCTGGGACAACTTTCAGTGACAGCGTCGTAATTCAAAGTCAAAGTTATGTCGAAAAGTTGCAGCTGTGCCGGAGATTGTTCGTGGGTAAACATACTCGCAGATGGAGCATGGGGAATTTACGAGACCGAACAGATTTATGTCTCAATCTGACGAACCGACAAAGACAATTGACAATCGAAATCAATAAGCCATAAAGGTGACAACAGGCGAGACTTATCAAATAAAATGCTGGCACAGGAATTGCTTTTTTGTACTTTTTCCCCGCCCCCTTAACAACGGTGAAACCCAATCCCCGGCGTTTGTCATTTTGGGCCACCTGGCGAGTGTCAGGTGTGAAAGGTGGCGGTGGCACACGACATGTGTAGTCCCCGGTGATGTGAATTGGATCCGACTTACATGCTACGCCAAATAGATTGGCTTTGACGCTGACTATCGCTCTGGCTTTCGCTTCGCTCACCTGTTTTAATTAACTTAAAGTTGACATTGTTCTGGGATTTGAAAGCCTCGTTCAAACTGCTGTGACTGTAATCCTTGAGCACGCCGTTGTAGGACGCCATGCTGCCGCCCGGGGGGCTAAGGGAACCACTGCGTGGTCCCCTCCACCCGAAGATCCTCCTCCTACGACTTCTTCGACCACTTGAAGATTTTACCGAAGAACCTGTGAATGTGTTTCAAATACTATTACGGGGCTATCTAAGAAATGCTATCAATGTTTTACTCAAACCAAAAATTAATCAACTCGTAAAACCAAACAATTAAGGGGAATTAAAGAGAGGAAACAAACAGAACGCAACGCAAATTCCAAACAAAACAAACCGAATTGAAAGCAAACAAATGAGAATTTTCAAAAGAAATGTGATTTGATTACGGGTGGATGGAGTAAAGTATCCGTCGGGCAATGTCAGGAATTATTTTGGCCACGCCGTGATAAATGCACAAGTCGGTTTTCCCTCGTTCCCCCCTTTTGGGCAATCAAACAGATCGCTGCCTTTTGTATTTATGCATAAATAATGAGGGGAGGCAGCCCATCCAACCCACTTTCCTTTAGCTTCTATTTTCGTTCTGGGCCAAGGCGGAAATTCGAGTGTTTCAGTCCAAGACAGGGCCCAAACCCGAGCCCCATTACCAAAGTCAACAAGAGAACCAAGACAGGAGCGGCCAAAATTATGGAACTACTCTTTAACTCAAGGAATTCAGAATGAATTAATTATTATATTAAATCTAAATTCAATTAAAGTCAAATTCTGTTGGTGTGTAAAAAAAATAAATGAATAACTAGAACCGATTTCTCAATGTCATGTTAAGGTTCTGATTTGTTGTCTGTCAAGAAACATGATAAAAAGTTCAATTCTGCGAAAAAGATAATTAAATTTTCCAATGTGACATAATAATATTTACGAACGAGTTCTGTTAACACATGAATAAGGAACATTTTTTATTGTCAGTTATTTCTGTCGACGGTCGAATTTAACAGAACAGTACCTCTAGGTAAGAGCTTCCAGTCAAATGATACATAGCATGATATTTAAAAATTAAATTTGAATTTGAATTAAACATGACATTGAGAAATCGGACCTAACTAGGGTTTATTTCAGATTTAAAACATTTCTGTTTTGGTAAATCTTTTCAAATTTAATTTAAAGTTTTTGTAGACTTTAAAAATACTTTCTAAAATATTTGTTTAGTACGAAAAATACAGTCCTAAATTTTTTAATATTCACAAAGTTTAGAACAATTTTTTAACTAGGAAAGGTAAAACTTTAAAGTCATCTGATAATGCTTATTTGAAAATCATAAAAATAAATTTAAGGGAGTCTATTTCGAGCAGTAAAACCCTTTTCAAATTTATAAACATGGAATTTATAAGAAGTATATATAACCAGGGGTCAATTCTAGTTCTATAACTTTAAGCGCAACTGTATGTGGGTTCCTTTGGCTAGCTGGTACTGGGCTCCTTCGGTCTTTGGTTGGTGGCCAAAGGGAAAGTTGGGGCAAATGGGTCTCCCTTCATTTAAAATTCAATCAATAAATGAAGCGTAATTTCATTGCCGCGGCGAGAGTCGAGATTTCGTTTCGAGCACACTCGCAGCTAAAAAGACTCGAGGGCCCGTTTGTTTTGGTATGTCTTGTGATTGTTTCATTCGGACTGGCCACTGGCCACCACCCACCGGATCCCCGTCTTAGCCAAGTGTCCAAGTGTCCAAAGTGTCTGTCGGTGGCTTTGAGTTGGCCTTAGCCGTGTTTGTTTGCCCAAGCTCACACGAGGCTCAATTACTGTCCGACGGGTTTGTCTAAATGAAATATGCAGGAGCTGCAGCGCATGGCCAACGTAAGTGTGCTTTGGAAATTATTAAAGGACTCGGCTGTCGCATCCTTATGGCTCAACCATCCCGTCCAATTTGAAGCGGGATAAACAAGGCGTGTCCGAGATTGCCGGCGATCACGTAGCTCTTGATTTACTTTGCCGCTGGTCATCAAATTTGCCGCGCTGTGAACTTTGAAATGAATTCGAGTGGGTGGCTGTTGACTTTCTTGGCTTGGTGGCTCGGCAGGATCTCAGGCGGTTCCAGCTCACGTGCCAGCTGCAAGGATGTCGTTATCGCTGTTGTTGATTACACTTCACGCGCTGCTAAGCTGGCATTCATTTTGGGACGCCAGTCACAGCAGGATGTGCTCCTCCAGCTCCTCCAGCTCCTGCTCCACCGGATCCTTCTAGTTTTTAAAGGAATTATGTGCGTGCCTGCATTTGGAGAATGCGCTCGGGGCACGCGAAGCAGTTGCATCCACATCCACATCCACAGCCACATCAACATCCACATCCACGGGCACAGGTAATCCAATTATGCATGCGAGGAGCAGCTGTGGACCCCACCCAAGCGATAAGGTGGCGCGATGGATATGCAGATGGCGAATGGTCGGGCGGAAAGTCAGGCATCCTAAGCACTTTAAGTCCGCCCCTCGCCTTTGTGTGTGTGTGTTTAGTACCGAAAGTTAGCCAAGCGAGGGCGGAACAAAGGATGGGGAAGGCGAACTCTGGCCTGGCCAAAGGTTGCGTATCCTTGGAAAACAAGCTGCGAGTGCAAAATCTGAGAGTCCATTGTGAGGATTGTGCTTTCATTGTGCGCCAGTTGGTAATTGAACGTGTGCGTAATGCAGCTAATTGAAAGGTTTTAGTGATGGGAAGAGGAAATAAAAGGTTAGAGCTAACACAATATAAGTAAGCGCAATCTCACTGATTTGGGTTTCAACTAATAGTATTAGTGGTTTGAGTGGCATCTAATCTTTCAACAAGAAAATAACTAATTCAAATTAAGTTTGCTTGTAGTAAACTTAATCTATAAGGCCTATTATATCTGACATATCATGTAATGTCATACAAATATTTGTTTTTGCTAGACTTATAATTTTAACAGCAAACTTGTAAAGAAAATGTTATAGGGTCAGACATCTTTTTCGTTATATTTAGTATATTGTACTAAAACGGACATAAGCAGACTGTTTCAAAAAATTAATTTAAGTATTTTGGTTCCCTTAAGTGTTAGTTGAAGTGTATGATCCAAGGATACCTATTATAAAGGCGGTGTTGTAAGGCAGTATCAAACTTTAACATAACTCAAAACTGCGAATCAAACTTGCTGCAGATGAAACGTGGCTAACAGAAATGATCGGGTTTTAACATTTCCAGATCTTGAAGGAATTCCATTTGCTTTTAAAGATGGCAGGATGATATCAAATCGAATTCCCTCAGATCCCTAAAATGTGAAAACCCGAACCCTCCCGTATATGCTGCATGTTATGGCGATCGACCCAAGGTCGATCTCTACGAGTCGCGCGGCAAACAACTGTAAACGATTCGATTAGCAGGTGCAAGAGTAGACTTGGAAGGCACCTGTCACCTTTGGAGTGCGCTCCAGCTGAGCTGGCCCCGCCCCCTCCGCCGCCGCCCGCCGAGTTGGATCCACTGGGCTGGCCGCCTGCTGCTCCTCCTCCTCCACCCACCGCCCCGTCGCACTGATCCGCGCTGCGTGACCTTGCGCCGGCCATCCTCTCCCGATCCTCGCGAGGTGACCGCGCAAACAGTCCGCCCCCGCTGCCGCCGCCCTTACCCGCCGGACTCCGCGTCCTTGGCGAATCGTAGACACCCGCATAGTTCTCCAGGGGCGGCGAGTAGCCCCTTCCACTCCCATCCGCTGGCGCCGTGTGGGGGGTTCGCGGCTGCAGCTTGATGACCGGCTCGCGGGCCTCGAAGAATGCATCGAAGTTGTTCTGGCGCAGATTCTCGCTGCTGAAGACCGGATTCTCCACATGCACATGGACATCCTCGCGCAGTCTGTTGCTCTCCCTCGTGTCCGAGGAGCTGGAGCGGCCCAGTCGCCCCAGCGGCAGGTGGAGCTTGGGCCGCAGTCGTGACTTGCCGGTGGGCGACTTGCTGCCCGATCCGCTGGCCGAGGATCTCTCCGGCGGCAGATCCATGGGCGACATGGGTCGACCCCATCCGGGTCCGAAGTGGGCATGCGTGGGATCCGGCGTGGGTGGCTCCAGAAAAATACTAGGGCTCCTCGAGCGGGGATCTCCATACTCCAGGGCTCCCGCTCCTCCTGCTCCTAGTCCTGCCGAATCCTGCTCGTAGGCGGCGCTGCTGCGCTGGAATGGTGCTCGTCCTGGTCCAGTGGCACTACTGCTTCCCTGCATCTGGCTGGCATCATTATAATCATTATACATGGACGCAGCGGGCGGACGCTGTTGGCTCCTCCGTAGGCTGCTCCTCTTAGTGGAGCCCTGGTGGGAGAGATTCGAGTTGTTGGAGTGGGTCAAGGAGGCGCGCGATGTGCGGCGAGTGGGCGTGGGCGGCAGGCTCTGGGATTGGTTGTGGAATTGGTTCTGCGATGGCTCGTCGAAGCTGAAGAAGGTCGAGGGCACCGGTGATCCTGAATAAGAGAACGGCGGCGAGGCAGGCGGTGATCCCGGATAGAAACTGGTTAGTGCTGCCGGAGCGGTCGCTGGCTGGATGGCAATGGGCGGAGTGCTGGCGGTGATGGTCTCGAAGTGGACGGCGGCGGTGGTTGGGATCTTGGTGGTGCTGGCTACGAGGCAACTGGTGGTGGCTCTGGCTGGATACTCGATGGGCACGAGCGGCTCGGGCAGGCAGTCGAGTGAGGGTCGCGGTTTCACACGTGGCGCAAAGAAACCATAGGTCATACAGATGAGCTCATCGGCGGGATATATTACGTACATTCCTCACGGTCCCCATGTGGCATGGTGACACTGTGCTAAGTGGATCTCAGCTGTTGGCTCGGTTATCTCTTGGTCTCTGGGGTAACTACATACGATCTGGGTTCGGTGGGTCTCTGTTTCTTGGGTTTTAAGGATTGTAAGGTCCTGTCTTTTTTGGGGTTCTCTGTTAGCAGTGCTGTCAGCTGTCTGTCTTTTGTGGGTTGTCTAACTAAAGTGCTTTAAGTTACCAAAACAATATAGATATGTGGCGTATCTAGGTTTGTCTACAACTAGGACTTAACGTACTTTCTGCTATTCGGTTGTATCACAAAGTGAGTTCAAGTTTAGTTTATCTCTCGGGGACGTGCTGTCATTTAGATCGCTGCATATTGTCGATGCTCGAAGACGATACTGAAAATGGGTAGAACAAAGAAAACAAGCGTAAGATTAATTAGTCGTAATTACTGGATGTTACATTTTTAGAACATAAAACAAAAGTTTGGCAGCCTCATTAAAAACGTTTCTTTGTGCTGGTCACTCACTCATGCGAGTCTTTCCGTTTTGCTCATTAAATTGTTTTGTTTCCCTGGAAGAGCAGAAGTTACTGCTCCAGGGTCAGGATTTAGGTCAAACTTTGGGCACTCATTCCCCGCAAGTTGGCAAACAAAGTTTGACAGAGAGCGAATTTTTTGGCCAGGTTCGCATGGCCAAGGCCAAGGCCCAAAGAACCCAGGGGCCAGGTGGTTAATTGTCAGAGTGCCAAATGTGTACGAAAATGGTCGAAACAAATACAAAGGCACTTACCATATTTTTAATGGTAAATAAGAGTCATTGTTATAAAACTGTTAATGCCCATTATTCACCAAGGCTTATTTTGAGCATTATTATAGTGAAGAACTTTTGTGAGATACAACTTGTTTAAACCATTTAAGCTTAATATAATAGCGACTTTATTTTATTTGAACAATCCTCTTTTTGTTTTGCTTAGACCAAATGTTGGGAATATTGTCAAATTTAAATTTGATATACTTAAATGTATATACAAAATGTATTCAATTTAAAATACAATTATACCTTGATAAACAAAAGATCCGTAGGGTTTAAGAACTGTTAAAAATTGTGTTGTTTCTATGATCTCAATATTTGGTCTAAAATTCCATTCCATTTGAAAATTGAATACACTTTTTCAACATTTATACCGTTTTAATCCTCGAAACAAATGATTTAATTTCCTTTCTTTGTTTAATTCTACCCCTTAAGGAAAAGTACTGGGTCAACTCACTTTATACTGGGTGGGTGGGGACTCTAACACAAATTAACAGGAATTGGCACTGACAGCCTGAGCTCAAAGTTTGTGCGTGTCGAAACGTCTGGTGGGTTGGGTGGTGGGCAAATTACGGACTCGCCACATGCAAGGCTTATTATTATGCCATTTTATGGCCAATCGATTGGCCCATATCAATTAAATTTGCATTAAATATTCATGATAACCGATGGTTACACGGCGCTTTAATTATCGGATCAGTATTAACTGGATGAGTGATTATAGATTGCCATTGTCTTGTCTTCACGGTTCGAAGTTTATGGGCGTTGAAATTACGGACATAATATCGGATTTCCCAGAATGATATAAGATACGCGGTATACTATAACACTACAACAGTTAATAACGAATTAAGTTTTTGTTAAGTGGTTTTCCGGAATCATCAATTACTATTTAAACAAACAAATAATATAAACGTTGGATCTAAAATAAAAAAAGTGTTTTAAATAAAACAGCTCTATAAAATAACACCATCGGCTAACCAATGAAAGCAAAAAGAAGCGATTAAAAAACAAGGAAGAACGCTATAGTCGAGTACCTCGACTATCAGATACCCGTTACTCAGCTAAATAGGGATATGCAAGTAGCAAAGCGAGATTAAAATGCGCCACCTACCGGCGGTATACAGATTTAAGCGTTATGGGCGTTAGAGTGGGCGTGGCAAATTTTTTTTTGGACCAATCGATAGGTATTGACAAGACCAATACATTTCAGTTAAATTTGTTTATCTAGCATGAAAATTGTGGGCGTCACAGGTTTTCGCGGTTTGTGGGCGGTAAAGTGGGCCTGGAAAACTTTTTTTTGGACCAATCGATAGGTATTGATGAGAACAATACATTTCAGTTAAAATTTTTTATCTAGCATGAAAATTGTGGGCGACACAGGTTTTCGCGGTTTGTGGGCGTTAAAGTGGGCGTGGCAAACTTTTTTTTGGGTCAATCGATAGGTATTGATGAGAACAATACATTTCAGTTAAAATTTTCTATCTAGCATCAAAACTGTATGAGCCACAGTTTTGGGCGGTTTGTGGGCGTTAGAGTGGGCGTGGCACTCTACTGAAACAAACTTGCGCTGCGCAGGAATCTCAGGAATCTGCGTGCCTAATCCCAGTATTGTAACTCTCATAGATTCCGAGATCTCAGCGTTCATACGGACAGACGGACAGACGGACAGACGGACAGACGGACAGACGGACAGACGGACAGACGGACATGGCTAGATCGACTCGGCTAGTGATCCTGATCAAGAATATATATACTTTATGGGGTCGGAAACGCTTCCTTCTGCCTGTTACATACTTTCCGACGAATCTAGTATACCCTTTTACTCTACGAGTAACGGGTATAAATAGGTTTAAGTATATCAAACATTAAAAGGAAAATGTTTAGCAGCAGTACACATTGTTTTACCCTTGTAAATGTATCAAGATTATTACCTAAACAGTCTATAAGCTTTATAAAACACCAAAGGTCTTACGAATCTTTTGTGAAATCAAATGATTTTCATTTTTAATTCCAAAGGCTTAGTTCGAGGCTTCTCGAGCCCGTATTTAAAAATTTCATTATAAATTTACCATTTGCATAATTGATATATAATGGATACTGACCCAATAATATTCACCCACGGAATGAGAGAGGGCGGGTCCTTGGCCGGCATTAAAATCGCATTACGGCACGGGAAATCGGTGGAGATTAAACTCATATATATAAATCGCGCACGGCGGCCTTGCGTGTGCGTATGTGAAAATGAGGAAAACCCGAAAAGAAAACTTACAACAAGAATGCGATGAGATGATGATGGTGGCTGAGGGAGGGGGGACACACAGGGGGCACGAACACGAGTATGAGGAAAACCAAAGCCAAGACAGAAATTGCATTTCATAAATGGGGGGCTACAGCTTGTGGCAAGGCGAGCCGAAAAGAAATCACGCAATTTAATTCAATGTGAATTATTTATTAGCTGCCAGAAAGGGGCGGGCGCATGAATAATTCCCCCTACATTTGATGGTTCCAAGGCTGAAGGAAAATCGGGGGGGATACACCGATGACACTATCCAATGGGTACGCAAATATTTCCTTTTCATCCGCGACTTCCCCTCCGACTTTCACTCACCCACACGCACACGTTTATATGCACATAATTGAATTGTTTTGCTGCACTTTACCAGCTCGTTAAATCTGTCAACATTGATCAATCAAACGGGGTGAGAGTAAGTGAAAGTGGGCGGTGGCGGACAAAGAGAAAGTTTTCCCGTTTCCAGGCTCCATTCTCCATTCTCGGGCTCAAAGTTGTGAAAGCATCGAGGGAACGAGGAGGAATTTCCTCTATCCTTTGGCAAGGACTGGCATTTTAAAAGCCTTTTCCAACCTTTTTCAGCCTGGGGGGAAAAACCAACTGAAAGCAATTTTGCGAAAATGCACAAACAGCAGCTTCCTACTTCGGAGCCATAAAAGGGCAAATGGCAACTACTGGTATTAAAATTAATTAACTACAGAAAATAATGAAGCCTGAAGAGCAATGGCAATTCGCTTATCAGAACGAGGAAGCCAGCAGCAAACAAAATGTTATAAATAAACAGGCAGACGAACCCCTCGTTTTGGCTAGCTGCATATTGGCAAGAGGCACTGAGATCCTAAGATGCTCAGATGCTGAGATGCTGAGATGCTAAGATGCCGAGGAAATGCCCAGGAAAAGCCGGCCAGCTAGAGGAAGCAAACTTGACTCAAGTTCATTGTCAAGGCGGGCCAGAAAAAAACACAGAAAAAAAAAAGAAATAGAAAAACATCTAGGAGGAGCAATGTGAAGGCGCCCATGCGATGCACTTGCTCTCGGCCAGCGATATACATAATTACATGGCAGTGAGCCCAGAACAGAACATATTTATATTTAAAAGCATATAAACAAATGTATTATAGTGGGTCTGCACGCCGAGGTATTCGGTGCTGGCTATGAGAATACAAATTAACCGAATTCCTTGCGACTTGCTAGGAAAATACGAGAACGAGCAAAGATCAAGGCAACTTAGTTGGATGCCTTTGACCCTGCTTTTGAATTCCACCCAAGCTCTTTTCTTTCTTTCTATGTTCTTAATTTAATTTAACAAGAAACACATCAGCATAACATATGGTTTTGACCCAGCTTTAAGAAAACACAGTAA